AAAAACGAGAATAACCATAAAACCGCGCCACGGTAGCCTCCCATTTCTCTATAATACACGGGTAAAACCACAGTTCATTATACGGAGGAGCCATCGATCCGATCCCTAATTTCCCTTCGCCCACACCTATTCGATCCATCATATAACGGTAGATGGCCGTCTTCGTCCATTGAAATTCAACAATCGGAAGGATACGCCGTGGGTTTCACCGATAGAAATTAGGAGGAGCCCTCGCACACTATCGCAGTGTCCCCCAACACTTGTTCAAAAAGTGTTGTCGGGATGACCGATACATCATCCGACGGGGGCCGAAATGAGGAGGGGGTAAGAAGAAGAGGAGGAGAAAAAGAAAGAAAGAAAAAAAAAAAAAGAAAATGAGAAAAGGAAGAAGAGGATGACAGAGGACGAAGAGGAGGAGAGGAAGGACGAAAGAGGGAGAGGAAGGGAGAGACAGGTACCAATAACGAAACCCGCTCCAAATTCGGTAGCCGAAAATTAAACCGAGAAAGGTTTCTCGGTTATGTCTAGACCTAGACCCTCCGGTCAAATCGTAGCAAATTATACCGTCGGCTCCATCCGCATATTTTACGAACCATAAATATTAATCCACCTCACGGTGTATGCCTCCTCTCCATCTTTCCACTTCTGTTCCACGTTCCTCTTTCTGCCTCTCCTTCGTCCTTTCTTCCACCCCTCCGCCCCGTAATCCCTCTTCAACGCGCGCCACGCAGACGTTCTGGCGGATGGCCCGCGGGTACAGTCCCCGCTAAAATCGAGAGTTCGGGACAAACGCAAGCCACATTTGCATAGAGGCGCGTGTTTTATTGTACACGAGAGACGATAAACATTGAAACTCAGGTAGCAGGTGATCATTGGATCGATTATTATGGGATTCGAGATGGTACATGATAATTCCTTCCCTTCTCTCGGTTTTTCAAAATCAGTCGGAAGCTCTCTTCCCTGAAATTCTATTTCCCTATGCTTAAGCAACAAATGATTGTTCTCAATTCAAGAGTAAGAGAGATGCTTCTACTTTTATTACGTTTTTCTTACATCGATGTTTATATTAGGATATTTATATATTTTTATTTCTCTCGGTGGAATGAATCGCGATCAAAATAGCAATCTCGAAGCTATTCGTTTTCAGCCTGTCTCGCGATAATTCAGTAACGCGAAATGCGAAGAGACAGTCGGGTATAATAAACGTAACATTCCACGTCACTGGGATTGAACGATTGCAATGAATTGGCGTTCAAAATGAATGCGGATACGGTCATAGATAAAGCAACAGCAATTTTGCGCCAACAGACAGCATGAAATTGATTATATAGTCGCATTTAACATGGTCCACTGGTTACCCGGCACTTATTGTTGATGTTGACTACTGCCGTTACTTGGCGCCTAGCCACTTATTACCACTTTGTGTGCTGCCATCGGAGAGAAAGATAATCGCCCACTTGTAAGTACGTGTTTCTCTATGCATCAAGCGTCGCATACGCATGCATCGATCAAGCTTTCGTCCATTAATGAATCGACCATCTGTTTCAAGAAATATCTCAATTTTCTTCCCTCCTTTTTTTTCTCCCTCCCTAGTAGAAATATTGTTAAGAAGGACGAAAAGCTCGAGGATCGTTTCGTATTTCAAGTAGATTCAAATATTTGTAGTAACTTTTCAACTAACCATATCGTATTAAACATCCTGATCGCGTGGAGACAACCGCCTCGTGAAAGCACCGATGAATGTCGCCGGCCATCGACGATGAAAATCGAAAGTGTGACACGGTCAGCTACGTACACATCACATTCCAACAGCGTGCCACGACCCAAAAAAGCGCATCGTTTCATTCAATTCCGTCGCGAATATCGATTTCGTAAAATATTAACGTAAATCGCATTATTTACTTGTAAAAATCTTCCTCTGCAACGTGTCAAATGCACGAAAATATAGAATTACGATTTATAAATCTATTCCGTTTCTATATGAATACACGATTTTTAAATGTAACAAAATACGTATCGAACAATTGTTCCAAACTTTCCAAAGTGCCACTACTCGATCAAGTGTGAAAGAAGAGACTAACGCTAAAAATAAATTTTATTTCCTTTTCCCTTAAACAGACGGTGGAGAAAGAGTAAGAAAAACACACACACGTGTACAAAGTTGGTGGAGGGCAGAAAGCGGCGATAGAGGAGGGGCCCGGTTTTAATAGCCGAGGACCTCTCTCGCACGGCTGCAGAAAAATCCTCACGGCCGATATTCCTTCGAGATAAGCACGTAGTCCGGTAGCCCGGTTTTACCGGGCCAGTATTTATTGGTTATTGGTGTGGACCGTCATTAGCGAAACGGGGGTCCCACCGCTCCGAGCAGATACGAAGATATCGCACGAGGCGGCACGCTCTGTCTCTTTCCCTCTCCCGCTCCCCACCTCTCTCTCTCTCTCTCTCTCAGAGAGAGAGAGAGCCGCTCGATCCGTAATTTCCGCTGGCCAACTCCCCGCTGTTCACCGATCGAACGCGTTTGCAACGCTGTTGACAAATTCCTGCGGTTCTGAATCCGTTTCTGAAACGAAGAGGCTTCCCACTACGGAATCGGTCCCGAGAAAAGATGGAAAGAACGGAGAGAAACGAATTGCCGCGCGAATAATGTATATAAACCCGTACACGAGTCGAAGAGGATCATAAGTTCCGACGATTAATGTTTTCGTGACACGTTTTTCTTTTTCTCTAAATAATTCACTTGATAACAATTCTATGACAATCTAACACAGGATTATAGACAAGTGTTAACAAAGATTAAGTTTACCAAGCAAATGTGACAATCCATTTCCGCTTCGTTTCAACGGAAACTTCGATTGCTTGTAACTTGATAAACATTTTTGTACTCGCTTCGGCCCCCATAATCGACCCTTCTGTGCCACGAATGTATTAACGTATACGGGGAGGGAGTGGTTCCCGGGGGAAAAAGCGGGGCAACGGCGACGACGAAGGTTGTATATTGCGAGGAAGCTACTCGTCTTGAGGAGGACTGCCGTTGTGCGCTCGTTTAGCGCTATCCTCGGGGCAAAACCACGTGCACCCGCGGATGGAAATGCTAATTTGACCGAGAGGAGAGGGCCTTCTACGCACCCTTGAGCGTGCTCGGCTTCTTTCGCTCTTAAATTTTCTCTTTTTCTTCGATTCCTTACGGCGAGACGTACCGTTTCGTACCAAGCTCTCGACCCAGTGTGTATCAACACGCAGCTGGTTGCGTAATATAAATTCAGAAATTATTATGATATTCCAAGGTTTTGTGGAGAGGGGAGAAAAGGGATTATTAGTCTGTTTTCTCCTTTCAGTGAAACCGATATTTTTGGACACCGGTATATTTTATATTTATGTGTTATTCTCATTCTCTTTCTCTTTTCATTCAGAGAACAATCGTACGAATATTATTTAGGGGGCTTATGTATAAACACTGCTTGGGGTCTCCCGTTGGGGATTCGTTATTTCGTAAATATGTTCACGGTATGTAAAATGGAAATTAAATGTTCTTGTTTGTTACTCGGTAATTTAAGAAATATTTTCTTTTTGCATATGTATATATATATATATGTTGTTGTGATTGATGAAACTTTATGGATGGTATTTTATTCGGTTAATGATTACGAGCTTCGATTATTTTTTTTCACCAAGAAAAACAAAATTACACGAAATGTACGAAAATACGTGTTAATAAGAATATGTTAAACTTTTTAAGTCTCAAATTTCGGTGTGATTTTCATAACGCAACATTTATTAATGCAATTCACGAATCGACCATGTTCTCTATCTTTAAAATTGTATTCGATTGTCCCTAATAAAAAAAGTAGACGAGTACGATAAGAAACTTTTAGTTTAGAGACTACGAGACTTACATTATTCTGACACGGATGGAAACATTAACGATGACTATTGCAAATGACAATGACTAGGATTAATAAAAAAAAAAAAATTAAATAACGATGATGAAAGGTGATGGGGATAATTCCATAGAATGAGGAATTAAACGAAGGAAACAACATTCTACGATAAGCTTCTTTTTTCTTTCGTGAAACCTCGTCTGGTTTTGAAACGCTGGCGCATAATTCCTCCGCAAGAGCGTATCACATTTAGTCGACGATACGCCCAATACACATCTAAACCTTTGTGAATTCCTTAAGTGTGCATTATATATAAGAGACCAAAGTGATAATCGAATTTTTGTGTAATTCACGCTTCCATCCCGTATTGCATTTCGTCAGAAAATGCAACGGGCGGGTTTGAAACAAATAATTAGGAGAGGGAAGGGGGGAGGTGGAGGGGGGATATTTTCACGATCTACCAGAAATTGTTTTTTAAATAACGAAAGTATTTTAAGAAATCCGCATACTTACGTATGTATGAGAACTTCGCCAGTTTTTCGGCGCGTATTTGCTTAATTTATTCTCGGGATCGACGAACAGGTACTCGCCGTCTGAAACGCAGAAATAACAATTATTAATAATCCGTGATAATCAAATCGAGTATTTTATTTTTCACGTGATTCCCCCCCCCCCTCTTTTTACGTTCATTTGTTATATCATTTCATGCTCGATGACCAGATGAAAATTTTTGTATTACAAAAGATATAAATATCTCCTCTATCATTATCCTCTCTCCAATTATCAATTCCAAAGAAGAAGACGCTAATGCAAAGCGTCGATTCTATTTACACTCAACACATTTTATCAATTAATCACCTCGTCGTGAATGTACACATATATATATAAATGAATAAAAAATCCAGAAGAAGAAAAAAAAAACGAACAAAATCCTTAAAACCCTTAAAAATGTTCTCCCTGGGAGAGTAAGAGTTTCTCTTCAAACGGCAATGGCCGGTCGGGTGACAAATTAATTTTATCGGTAGCGACGGTGTGTCCCTTTATTATAATCGCGGAGCAAATACAAGGTTGGTCCTTGGTGGGATGGGCCGCGACATTCTGGGACTTGGGATCGGGCCAAATGGGCCCGTACAAGGGCCGCGCATACGCGTCCACGGTGCCCTGATATGGTCGTTGCGTGGAGCCCGGAGACTCATTCTCCTCGCTCGACTTTTTGCACGGCTGATGGTCCGAAATGCCGATACCCCTAAACGAGCGAAACAATGAAAGAGATTGTCGGCGAGAGGAGATGTTCGTGAATGAGAGGGCCCCCAAACCTGTCCTGCCCACATGGGGCCAGACACTCGGCTCCCAGACCCTCATGGCGCGACAACGCGACGCGCTTTCCTCCACTGGAACCCGATCTCGAGCCTGCAATTGGCCGCCCGCGATCCTGCGCTAGGCGCATTGCTTTTGCTCGCTTGCTCTTGAAACTTTACTCGTCGAGAACGTGAGAAATAGGGGGAGAATTGAACGAGAGATCACAAGGGAGAAGATGTAATACGAAACATAGGTGCGATTCGATGGAAGATTTATGAATAGAAATAATTTTCTTTAAAATCGATGTATTTATATATATATATATATATAGAAATATCTTCGTACTAGCTCTGGATATTAAAGATCTTACCTTACAGATATATACGTATGTAGGTATATTACGGCGCACGTGGGATGGAATGTGCTAACGTGAAGGTTAACCTCGTTCAGTCGACACGCTACGCGTGATGCTATGCTAAATTACGCGCACGCGATTTAACGCGCAAAACCTAACCTAAATTCAAAGAAACCCGAGGATCTGAATCGAACGTTTCCGTCCATCTCGAACTGCGACGATCGATCGAAGGGGGATCGACAGTGTCTTTCGCACAAGTGTCGCGAACAACAAATTTTCACGGAACGCATTTCGATCTATGAACGATAGCGGGAGTGACCGAAACTGTTCATCCCGTTTAGATGATCTACCATTATCGACGGAGCCGCAATAAAATATGTTATCGCGATGCTGCTTTATCGGTAAAACCATAAACCGTACGAGGAAACGTACATATATATATATATATATATATACCCGAAGTAGCGCGTTTCGTACGTATATATACAGTGTGGAATCATTATAGGTTACGTTTCAAACATCTGCTCCTCAATAAAACTCCACGTCGTGAAGCCGGTCCGGGTAGTGTCGTTCGTGTTCGAACAGCCGCGCCTCGATTCTTCCCTCGGCTCTCCCTCTCTCCTTCGCCCTCTCCCCACTCTTCCTTCCCCGTTCCTCGCCTCTTTCTCTTCTCCTTCCTCCTCTTTCTACGTCCACCGGTGCAACACGCCGGTGCAACGAGCGCTCTTTCGCTCTCCTCCAATCCCTCTTTATCCGCCTCTCTCTTTCTCTCTCTCTTCCTTCCTTCCCTCTCCTTTGGTTTCCCTACAGCGAAGCGAGTAGAAAGTCGAGGATTCTCGGACACCCTGTATTTAGCATATTTCGATTTGCCCGAGATACACTGAGCCGTCCACCTCGTCGACGTCCGGTGCCACGTGTGGCATGCTGCCTTTCAGACACGAAGGAGCGGATCGAGCCACATTCCGCGGTGGAGCCGGCCAAGGATGAAAGAAGAAGGAGCCGGGGGGATGTAATGCACTCTCCGCGGTGAAGAGGCCCAACCCGGGCCCCGACGTCTCTCCCGCTTTCCTTTCTCCTCCCTTCCTTCGAACGGTAAAAGAAGAAGAAGAGGAGAAGAAGGAAGAAAGAGGAAAGACAGAGGGAAGGAAAACAGAGGCGAGGAGAATAAGGATGGAGCGTGAGGAAGGGAGGAGAAAGAAGAAGCGGAAAGGGGAAGGTGAAAGAGGAGAAGAAGGAAGAGGAAGGAGAGGAGGAAGGTTGGGGGTGGCGACCTAAGAAGGTCAGAACATCGTATTTCTTGCGGCCGGCAGAGAGAGAGAGAGAGAGAGAGAGAGTCAGCAGCGTCATTAAAAAGAAAAGTTCGAGCGGGCATTGTAAGGCGGCCCGAAACCCATGAAAAATGTACCTCGAATTATCGTCGTTCCAGGCCTTTCGACAATACTGCGAAATACCACTTTTATTACGAGGATGCCAACCTCTCTGCCTGCCAACAAAGCCGGTCTGCGTTCCTCCCTTCCCCTCCATTTTTCTTTATTTTATAGCATAGGAATGCTGGAATTTACGTAACCGTACTATTCTATAATACAAAAATAATCTTTTTTCAAAAAAAAAAAAGAAAAAAACCATTTTTCTTTCGTTCACAAGATTGCAAATAACAAGCATACCTTTCCGTAATCGTATTGCAACATTCTCTCCCGATTACATCATCTTCTTTCTCTCTTTCTTTTCGGAATCAGAATCTTGTACGTTTCCATTGACGCGTAATAAAACGAAAAAATGATGTTCCACACCATCTCATACCGCCGAGAGAGGAGAGCGTCCCCTCTGCAATACACCTTCTTTCCTTCCCCTTCTCTCGCCTTGGCTGCTACTAGTAGCATTCCCCGTTTTTGACGGCCGGAATCGGGACCGAAATCGTCGAGATGGACGGACGGATGGATATCCAGCGGCGTAGCCGGAGGGCCGAGAGAGAGAGAGAGAGAGAGAGAGAGTACGTAAGTCA